TTCTTCATTAACCTGGGGCTGCTCTTCTACAATCTGGACTTCCAGGGCTTTCAGGGCAACTACTGAAGAGGCAGCACTAGCCTTCAGCATGGCCACGGCCTCACTGTGACTCAGGTTGGTCAGATCAATGCCATTGATGTTCAGCAGCACATCACCTGTTCCAAACAACGAGGGAGAGCACATCAGTCTGACAGTCCTGCCCACCTACAGCACCTCCCGTGCCAGGGCTTCATTCCATACTGGAGTCTTTGGACCTGAGACAGTCTGAACTAACAGACTAATAGCTCTGAAGCCTTTATATTGTCAGCTTGAAACTTTAATGTATAGAGCTTGTATCAAGTTGGATCAGTGTAATTTATTTCCACATTAACACACCGAACACCGTGACTCTTATGTGTACTGCCCTGAAAAATCAGGAATACAAATTACTAAAGTACCTCACCAGCTTGGCTGCAACTGCTACTGCAGATGCCATGACACAACTGTTTCCAGATGTGGATCTTGGGTTCACCCTAGCTTTAAAAGTGAAGGAAGAATGATGGCAGGAACAATGCAGGCACCTCAAAGTAGCCAATTAATGTAGACAGGTGAGGTTCCACTTTTAATGCATCTTTAATGCATTTAAAGTGCTTCAATGCATGTGATTTTACTAACTTGTTACTTGGGAGAAGAAAATGGAATTCAAGAACTACTGGGAAGTTTCACACAAAACTCAGTTAATTCAAAGAAAGAAATGGAGCATCTCTACAAAGATAATCTGGAAAGAGTCAAAGACAGAAAAAGATTGCCACAATTTTAGTTTTATGTTTTTTAAAAGCCCCAGGATGAAAACAAGAATGTTATTAACTATCCAGAGGCAGACTCCTTTTCCACACAATGTCTCACCAATGAAAGCCAGAAAAACCAGAGCAACAGTGCAAACACCTGGGTCACATTTGGTATGAGACTCAGTTTTCAAAAGGTTTTTCCTTCCAGTAGCTTCTGTGGCTATTTAATGTTAAACAATGAAAGAACAATAGTGATTCTTCTATCAAGTATGTTTTTCATAGTAGTACAGAAAAAGAAAGCATACCTGCTGGTGTGTGGGTGTAAATCTCCCTTTCTCAGCATAGAAGGATGCTCCCACACTGTTCTTTTAAATGTACAATCTGTGAAGTTTTTTCCTAAATTTCTTTCCTGAAACACTCTGTAATTCTGTGAACTGTGAATCACAGAGATCCCATAGGCAGTCTCTGATTCACATATGACACAATATGTTTTAATCATCAAATGCTTTGCTATCAATTATGCAGGACTGCCTTCACCTATGCTGAGCCTAACCTCCACCACCTCTTTCCCTTCTACAAAGCCAAGGAACAAGGAGAGGTGTTACAGCACCCCTGAAGACCAGCAAACTCTTGCTGTCCCAGAGGATAAGAAAGCTTTTGGGAACCAGGATTAACACTGATGTAGCTTTTGGGGAAAATTTTGTGTGGGTGAGCTGTGGCCTGTCATCAGAGCTTCTCTACTGTTCAGATATTATACTGGGGAGCAGAGATTCCTTGGACAGAGATGTGGTACAACTCACTAAAACACAAAAACAGGATGTGTCTGCATCACAGCGACCCTCAGCTCAGGGGATTACCATCAGCTTTAAAGAATTTAACCATACATTTCCTGATCTTATCCATTTCCCCTGCCATCATGCTGTAAACATCCCCTTCCCATAAAAGGTGAAAGTGCAACACTAAATACTGTATTTCCATTATTAAATCATGAAGAAAAACATCCATAAGCTTTTTCCTACATCTGTGAGAGGACTTTTTGACATTGAGACTCGAGAATGCTGCGGTCAAAAAGCAACCAGAGGTAGCCATGCCACCAGGGAAGCCAAACCCCACCTCGTTTAATCCTGCCGTCTCTTGCCAAACACCCGTGAGGCTGCACGCTTGTCACAAAGATGGGCAGTTCACCACTTTTGCTGCCTCTGCCTCCTGCCACTGTCATTCCCAGAGATTCATGTGGCTCTTTTTTCACAGTAATGTGCTTTTCTTGGCATGTAACACACTGGGAGAGATCCTGTTTAATAAGGATGAATAACATTGTTAAAACTAAGGAAAAGAACAAGCAACCCAAAACCGAAAACCAGAACAAAACCAACTAAATACACCCCAAAGCCACACTGACACTTTAATGGAACAGTTTAAAAGCACTAAGTAGCGGAAGCCAGCTTTGGCTGGATTTCTTGTAGGTCAGATCCATGCTACCTCAAAAAAACCCCCAAATCACCAACAAAAACCCTATGGGTGTGGATACTTAAACATAGATAGAAAGCTTATAAAGGCCCATCTTGAAATCTTACCCTAGTTTTTCTTAACATCTTACACTGG